TCATCTTTGAAATAACTTTGTGAAGTGATAGAAAAAGCATTCAACTTGGAGTAAGAAAGTGGGGTTTACCCTTTTCTAACTGCTCATCTTCTCCATAACTTGAGAGCACATTAATAAACTCCTTTGGCCCTCAATATATGTTTCTGTAAAAATGGGATATAAAATAATTTCCAACTACTGCAATTTCATAACGCAGCTTAAGCGAGAAAAACGGGTGTGAAAGACTTTTGCAAAGTATCATAATTTTTTTTAAATAAATAAAAACTTTATTTCCCTACTTATCTAGGGGAGTATATTTGGTCATTGTGTTTANCATAACTTGAGAGCACATTAATAAACTCCTTTGGCCCTCAATATATGTTTCTGTAAAAATGAGATATAAAATAATTTCCAACTACTGCAATTTCATAACGCAGCTTAAGCGAGAAAAACGGGTGTGAAAGACTTTTGCAAAGTATCATAATTTTTAAAAAATAAATAAAAACTTTATTTCCCTACTTATCTAGGGGAGTATATTTGGTCATTGTGTTTAAAATGTTGACCTGATTTTTCCCATACCCAGAGTGGGCAAATATGAGTTAAAGTTGGGGAGGGTACCATGGCTCTAGAACTCAAGGAGATCAAAACACCTTTTAAAAACCTCCCAGAGGCCTCAATCTCTCAGCACCTGGTACTCTCTGATGGGACAGATTTCTATCTGGATAGGTAGTTAGAGCCTAATCCTTTAGCCAAGCCTGTAAATAAGTCTCAAGGCATCAGAGTCAATGATAAAAGGAAACATAACGTCCCTCTTTAGATGTCCTGCCTCTTTCAAAGCCTTGGGAGAGGAATGTGTAGCTCTCTGCTCACAGATGACAAAATTAGTGGGCTCTCGTCATTTAAGACAGAGGAAAGAACAAGCTGGAATCTGATACCAAATGCCACTGAAGAGAATATATTTTACACAACATAAAAAGCCTCAACGCTTATCAGAAGAAATATGGGGAGGCTTCAAAAAGGTAGGTCAGACTTTTTCCTCAAGCAGATAATTATAGGCTGGGGGTGAGTAAATCTTATTAGCCTCTCTCCATCTCGTCTCTTCTCATAAAACACTGGTAAGAAGAAAGCCACACTCAACCCAGGACGGGACAGCTTGCCTGGGAGAGGACTGGCCCACCGTCCGTCATTCCGCCTACTCCCGGGACCCCCAGCTGCCCCCCGGAACACAGGGGAAGCCAGCCAGCCATGCATGAAGCCCTGCTATGGGCTTGCTGAGACTTGGTGACTTCTCACTGTCTGAAGAACTGTCCCTTCAGGTGGCAATTTTCCAGTCAAATTTCTCTGCCCAAGTTTGAGGCATTAAAATTAATGAAGTTGTTAACATTTCTTAAAATGACTTTTTCGGCAGTTGGAAGGTATGGATTTATCACCCATGAGCCTGCTGGCCTCTTCGGTTCATAGACAT